AAAAAAAAAAAACGCGTCGAACGATACAAAATGGATACAGTTTGATAATGAGAGGACTACTACCTTTCTATGTCATTGCGAATCAATGTTCAACCGTCACACTTCCGAATACTTATAAACTAACTCGTAATACGGATGTAATTTTCTCTTTTATTTGTATTTATTGAGTACAACTGACGATTTGTATGCACAAAAAGTTTGGATCAAATGTTATCGCTTTTTTTGTAATGAATGTACGAAAAAAGAAGTGAAATAAAAAATATGTTAGTCGATGGTACTTCCACACGCGCTTTCACGTAACTACTACCCTGCTCGTATCGGAGGGAGGTAATTGTTCTCTGTGTGATGTAACACAAGGAAGAGACATGTGGTATAACAAAGAAAAAGCGTTTTGTATATTACACATATTACAATTAACGTTCATATATTACAGTCAGACACTGCTTTTCGTATGTTTCACATAAAATTTGTGTCTATATTTCGAACTATTCGCACGTCTCACATGTTCAATTCTTTGAGGCGGGCTCAAATGTGTAATGCACACCTTTCCCTGGGAATTGCTGCTCCAACTGAAAACACCATGTAAACAAATCAAATTGAAATATCAATTACATCCAAGTGAGAAATGTCACAAATAAGAGAGAGAGAAAAAACATTTGTTATTTAAACAACAGATAACTTACTCTCGGATGAACTGTGGGATATGGTTCGAATAAATATACAAGTCCAATGTAGGCGGCTACAAATAAGACAAAACATAGCGCTCCAAAAGCCGGATCGTATCTATATGGATATCCGTAACTGTAACGATCCTCGCCCATTGTTTCGAAGTTATAGTGTAACTGGAAGAAGAAAGAGAACGCACACATGTAAAACATGTGGCAAATGAAATCTGATTTCAGAAAGAGAAGCATTTCTCGCATCGCTCACCGGCTCGTGATAATTTTTCCTCAGGGTTGGTATATCATACGGATAATACGGATCTTTAGCCGCCGGTCCTATCATGGGTAGATCTGGATAATCGCCGGTACAGTTCTCCGGAGGATACGGTTTGTACTCCTTCGGATGCAAGTTATACTTCTCGGCGATCTTCTCGTGATTCTTCTCCTCGTATTTCTTCGGTCTCCACACGTAATTCCATGGCAATGCTGTGGCGACAAAGTTGTGACAACTTCGATTTCTTTTCATCACACGGTTATTAACATCGTTACATCCCTCTAGTTTACTTTTCTACTTTTCCACGAATTTCTCTCGCACGTCTGTCTTCATTTTTTCGCTACTTTTTTTTTCGTACAATAAATTGATTTACATACTTATGTAATAACAATAACAACCTCCTTTTATAACCTCTTCTTTCATTTAAATATCAACGATAAATTACAGCGTTGTTCCCAATGAACGTGCGATAAAGTCAATCAAAGTACAAATTGTTTATCGGTTACTCACGTGTGTCGGAGTAACATCTCGTCGCGCTGTACAAACACTCCGTGTTTTTCCTCAACAATCGACTTGACAGTCCACCGAGTCTCGCAACAGCCATCGCGGCCATCTTGGTTGGTTAATTGGTCACTGCTGCGCGTGGAGCTGCTGCGCCGAAAACTATGAGCAGAGAGGAGAATGAGAGCGGTCACGGACCTATATTAAAAAAGGCATTTGAACCGAGAAGTGCGCGTTTTGGAGCCGAATGTATCGCATCTATTGTTGCCTCTTTTCCGCGTTGCCGATTGGTTGGTTGGTTGATCGAGTCGAATCGAATCGGTAAGATCAAGAGAGTAAATAATAAAAGCGATTTTGAGACAGTCGTATATGTAGAGAAAATTAAAAACGTAACTAAAGTCATGTGACAGAAAAGAGTAGAAAAACAACACGTGAAAATATGACGTGACTGTAATTTATATTATATATAACATTAAATAATACATATTATACATATAATTTATTATATGTTTATAATATTATACTTTATATTGTATTATATGTATTATATACATACTACAGAGTAATGTCACTGACCTCGGCCGCGCGGCCTTGGCGGGGTCACTGACCTCCGCCGCACGGCCTTGGCGGGGCACTGACCTCGGCCGCGCGACCTTGGTGGGGGCGGGGTCACTGACCGCGGGCGCGCGGTCTTGGCGGGGGGGAATCACTGACCGCGACGGGGTCAATGACCTCAGTCGCGCGACTGCGGTAAAGTCACTGACCTCGGCCACGTGACCGCAGCGGTTTTACTGACTTCGATCACGTGATTACGGCATATATATACAGGGTGTCCCAGAATTAGTGTAACATCTCTCGTGAGCAAATAGAAGGAGTAAAACTGAGTCAAAATGTCCTATACCATTTTGCTAGATTTGCAATAGTTACCGAGATCTTAATTAACAAAGATCAGCGAATAAGCATGCATCGGGCTGTCTTACGCGCGTAAGACAGCCCAGTGCGCTTCGCGCGCTAACGGTGTTAC